AGAGAGATCCTGTATTTCTTTGATTGTAAGACACGCTTTTTTCTCTATCTAAACATATCTCAAAATGGGATGTATCTTACAATAACAGGTGTATCTTATATACTTCTGTTGTTGTTGGTATTGAAATGAGGGTGCACCTTACAATCGATGGTGCCTTACAACTTAAGAAATACAGTAGGTAGATAAGGGTACAAATATAGATGGATGGATAGATAGAGATGGATAGTTGAGTTGGTGAATAGATGATATATAAATACAGATAGCCCTTGGGGTCGCTTCCAACTCTAAGATTCTATGATAGGTAGGTAGATACCGTATTTTGTCTATGCAAAGACACACTTCCCCCCTCTATAAACATCTCTGAAATTAGGGTGTGTCTTATGATCAATGGCGTCTTACAAGTGAAGAAATACAGTTGCTATAGTCAACCTTCTCTAGATCTTCTCGATGCCAAATTGGGTCTGTTCTGGTTTTAATGTCATAAAGCACCTTGAGTCTCAGGATTGGCAAAGATGGGATAGATAAGCAAACAGCCAAAGAAGTAATCCCTTCCTTCCCCCCTCCCCAAAATAAATCCATGGGGCCATTCTAGAGCCTGCGTTCCTGGCCGAGGGGAGGGTCCAGCGCATCTCTTACCCGTTCTTCTAGGAGATATTGCTGGTCGAACTCCAAGGAGTAGAACTCGATGGGGAAGGAGCAGGGGTTCTTCACCACCACCTCGGCCTCGTCACCCGAGGCGTAAGGCAGGAGGGGGCCCAGTTCCACAATGGAGGGGTTGAACTCCAGGCGCGGCTCGAGGCCTTGTCCTGAGACGGTCAGCACCAGCTGCTGGGTGCTCTGGGCGATGCTCAGGATCATGTAGTGGCGGTAGGACTTCTAGGGAGACAAACATCGGAGGGGGGTCTGTCATTATGGGCAATCCCCGAGTTACAAACGACTCCAAGCGAAGAACGGGGCTGGACTAGATGGCCTTTGGGGGTCCCTTCTACATCTAGTGTGGGTGGGTGGGTGGATGGGTAAATGGGTAGATGGATAGATGGATGGATGAACAGAGGGATGGATGGACAGATGGATGGGTGGATGGATGGATAGACGGATGGATAAACCAATGGGAAGAAGGATGGATAGAAGGATGGATGGATGGATGGACGAATGGATAGAAGGATGGATGGATGGATGGATGGATGGATGGATGGATGGATGGATGGATAGATAGATAGATGGATGGATAGACATATGGATAGAAGGATGGA